GAGGCGTAAGTCCTAATCTTTAAAATGTCCTGGAATGCAAAAATAATATCACAGTATGTAAAAATTAAAAATAATACATGTCGTTGCAAAACGAAACAAGCCCATAATTTGTGGTTCCGTTTGCCAGACCACGTCGTGTTAACGACTAAAGGTACCACAGATGCCTGTGATGTGACCGCATTTGTTCGTAACACCTCTATATTCGAAAGACACCAACCCACTCAAATCAGAAGTAGGGTATGAACGAGTTCGATGACATATTAGAAAGCTCTTGATTTGTTGCACGGGGTGCGTAGCACGACGTACTAACTTGTGATCTGGTGCGTGTGCATGATCAAACGTCCGCAAAAACTAAGGACGTCAGAATGAATGTCAAAGACTCATATAACTATTTATTTCGGGTAATAATTCATCACTACAAATTCTTTTGGTACTTTACTCAACGTTATAAACAGAATGAACATCTCAGAGAGATCTGATAGACTATAACCTTCCTGTCAAGTAGTCCTATGAATACTGAATCAAATGCTCATAAACTCCTGTTTATTTTTGTTTTAGGAAAAGATCCAGTCATTAACTCTTTAGAATGCTTTGAAGAAATCTATGGATTTATATCAACAGAAGGCTTTGGTTCACAGATTGCCCTGATACTCCAGAACGTCCACGGGCTTATGTGGCACAGTATACATGAATACAAATCATGTCATGATTTAGAGAGCACGAAGCTTTTGAAAATTTATTTTAGGAGAGATTAACTCGAAAATTATTTCATGAGTAGCACAACTGCTGAGAGCATTGAGTCAATAAATATTGCTTTTGGTGCGATAGGTGTATGAATCTGCGTTACTTCATCACTGAGAAGCCCAATAATTGCCACAGAAAATTATCATAATGCACATTCTGAAAGCTGTTTTGCAAACAACAAGTAATTGAGAATTGAGTCATATAACCGTTGGCTCTTTCACTGGAGCCACTTTTGAAATGCATAGCAAGTGGTGTGGAGTACTTAGTTATTTCCAGAAGGTTGGTTATTTTGTGCATTGCCCTTGCTTTCTGGACATTTCATCACTACTTGTTGTGTTTTCAGAGGACCAATATCGAAAACAAAGCGCAGGTTTTTATGCAACCACGACAAACTAGGGTCTGACTAGAATGAATCGCTTGTAGCAGTAAATAAATGACTTTGGGATCCTCGATCATAAATATGTTGTGGACAACAGCGTTATCTAACACTGATTATCCTCGACCCCCTTGCTTCTAATGAAAACGTTAGCTCGACTGTTTTGCTGGTTGATTGGTGGAAATTTAGGATAAAAAATTTATATTTAGACATCAGGTATAAGTGCTCTTCACACAACTATTGGTGTGCGACTTCTCAGAAATCGTCTTGGTTTGAGATTTTCTCAGGGCGACATCAGTGAGTAGAAATGGCAACGTATAATCCTGCCCGGTAGTGTATCAAATGTATGCAAGCTGATATAGGTAGAAATATTGGTTGCTGGTTTACGGCAGCGTATATGATTCTGATGAACATGTGGAAGTGTAAAAGATAAATAGATGTAAGACTTCACAAGCGGTTTCAAACTATGTCGTTTTCTGTCTCGATACCGCTGATTATATTTGCTGAGGAAATGTTCAGAAATTCTGTATCTCAGCACTGCTTAAGCTACTTATCAGTAACTTCATAAACGAAAACTGTGATGGAACCATCCTACGAACGACCTTCAAGTGGGCCTTAAGTGACCTTGAGAAATAACCAATCAGATGACAGTGGAGGTAAAAAATATGTTATGCAAAACCAAAGAATTAGAGTGGATAAACTTGTACATGATTTAAAAAACTTCAGGGTTAGAAAGAGGTTCTAAAATCATCATGCCTACGATGGAGGACCTCATTCATATGGCTCCATAGTAGTCGACCTGTGGAGCCATTGTGAGGTCGCAAGAAATCGTCTAGCATCGACCATATAGCTTCAATATTGTTTGTGTGCACTCCGGTTGCTGGGTTCACAAAGTGCCGCTTGTGGATAACGACACAATGGACATAATCAAGTGTACGTAGGCATCCGCAGGCTCTCCAATCATCTGTATATATTGTAGTACCCGGCTGCACATATTCCTGTATAATTGGTATTATCGTTGTAGCCTGTCGGTTTCTAGCCCGTTGGGAGTGTCTATTTTGAGATTATCTGTAGTATGTTCCAAGGACTTTTGAGATATATTTATGGTAGTGCTACTTACCCAGTCTTTAACACTACACCCCTATTGAATTTTCGTTTTCTCACAACTATTTCATCTATTTTAACGATTCTCCCGACTTCCCCAAACGACTTGTATATGCTTGTCATATTTACTGCACATGTCTCCACAATACTCACCACTGACCAACCGAAGTTTCAGTAACATCTGCAAGTTTTGCAGCCAGTGTTACTGGTGCTTTTATTATTCAGTTCGCAACAATTATCATAATTTGCCTTAGTCTCAATCTGGATCGAGCAAAAAAAGCTCCTCTTCTAGCAGAAATCTTCCTCCAACATATATACCTTGCAAGACAACACGGTGGTTTGCACAAGTCATTTGATTACCACGATCACAAATAAAGGAACTTCCTAGTAGTCTAATTTGTTGTAGCCATTCAATTGTGTCTTCTCTAAAATCCTCTGTGAACCGATCGTACGTGAGCATCAGGTACTAAAATTGTTGCCGTGAACTTGAAATCCTTCAAACGCTTCTGATTGGCTCGTCCATAAATTATAGTCTTGCCGATCTGTTAGTCTTGGATCAAAAGTGTGACTTAAAGGTGAGTTTACAAACTTGTACCTGACTTCTAAAGTACATAGAGTAAAATTAAAGCCGAACCTTTACAAAAGTGACTGTAAACAACATACAGATGTACTTGAATATTAATTTTCATTATATTGCCTATTCCTATATTAACCCGGATGGTAGGCAGAACACCAAAGATGTATAATGAGTATAAATCACAGTTTAAGGAGCAAGTCTCATCCTATAATGATTTCCTATTGTTGACTTTATCTGAGTGTCATTTGCTAGTAGTTATCACGATACTACCTCTATTCTGCTAAATGACGAGGCTGAAAAGCTTAGGCTCAAGATCAGCTGTCTCCTTAATATATGGATTCCAGATGCATGGATATGGTTTAACGTTTACATGTTATACGTGAACATTAAGATATGCCAAAAGAAGTACAATCTCTTTTGCTAATGCTTTTTTTAAATTATATCTCTTAAAATTTAATTCATTAATATGGTGTTGGATTGTATTCACAATTACAACTCACTCAAGCAGTTGGTTCTAACTGCACTGTCAACAAAAATTAATGTCCTTATATACATGTATGTATAAAAGTTCTGTAGATAATCTTTTGAATAAGTAAAGAACTGCTCAATGGAATCTGAATAACTTAATTGTTTATATAGTACAAAATGGGGTTATGACGTGTTTATTTATTTCAACACAAATATTGGTACAAAGGGGCACCGGATACATATGCCCCACACAAGTCACTTCACATATGTGTGGGCTGTGGTAATGCTTATGTGCCCAAACCGAAGCAGGTGGTTTTCTTAGGTGACCACACCCCGAGCCTTTAACCTAAAGGTCTGGTCCACAAGGCAGTGGAGCAGCGTCAGGAGATGCAGTCCCATGGTAGCCGGTGACCAACGATAGGTTTATACGCCATTTGTTCCTTCATGATACTGAAGCCCATGTACACCATTGGTTGGGAATCAGGGTTTTCCAACTCTACTACGTAGATCCTTCATATCCACCAGCCCGGTTAGAGTGCCGGACATTCGCTTTTCTTTCTCTCAATTTCATAGACAACACCCCTGGTGAGAGAAGACAGTGAGTAGGACTTCCATGATAGTGGCTGTATACGCGTGGCATATTAAAGCATTTGGAGGAGGGGGGCTGACTCTCCTCACCCTCGACCGTACCAGGGCATTTGGGGGCTAGGACATGTATAAACTCAGCCATTCGCCTCGTAAATTCACCACAGATGCTATCTGTTTCGTTTTTATGCATCGGTTCCCAGACTTAAGTTTGCAAAAAATCATTTGATTGGGACTCATCATGATAGCTCAAAGTGACCTCATCGACGTCAAGCTTTTGACTTTTATTTTTGGTTCCAGACAGTTCGTGTTTTCTTGTTGCTCACTTGTCTATCCAGTTGCTGGTTCTCTCATCATGTAACTGAGGGTATAGTAACTTAAATCTGTGCGTCATTACATGTGTTTCTGTAGAATTTTCGTTAGTCGAGTTTAAAACATCGAGTATTAGTACTAAAGTATTGAATAATGGTTTAGCACTTAAAACATTTAATTCAACTACTGGGTCATAAGTTCAAGTCTCATTCTACCTATTTCAGTTAATGTAACCGGGTAATATTAGTCATTCTCACTCAAAGTGTAGCTAAAAACCGTGCTCGCAAGCCTATATTCGCTTAATGAGTTATGTCAACTAAATAATTCATTAGAGAACTAGTTGAAAAGTTACTGGAGTACTACAGCTAAACTTGTTTGTTTGTTAGTATAATATTTTATCTTCTAAAAAAGTATGAATTACGGATAGTCATTTGGTTGGGACTAAAGTTTACCATAGTCCGTTGTTGCTTGAAAAATACATCCAAATAATTAATTACTGTGAAGTGGTTTACTTTCGATCATTCGAATACGCTGAAAACCAATTTACCAAGAGCAGATGAGTACAAATGTTAATAGGTTTAAGAACCAAACTATCTTTACATAATAACGCTAATCTCCAACTCTTTACACTCGTAGTTGATACCATCTCTACTCTTTACACCAATGTACGCAAACCTTAACAGTTTGTTGGTGCGAATATCTCTATATTGTAGTGTGTTGGGGGGGGGACAAAATATTCCGAGATACTCGAGATGTTGGTTACAAAAGTCGACATTTTAATGAAGATTAACAATTGCATGGCTATTCATAAATTGTAAAAATTTCAGTTTACTTATGCTAAAAGATCAGTACAATGTTCTTCCCTTGGTTTGTCTATTGTGGTTAATAACTAAGGCACAATATCTCATTTCTTAGTGGTTATCTTTTCAGAATCTACCATATTGGAAATCATCTAAATACTATCTTTGGACGAAATTTACAATTGCAAGTGGAGTTGTTGGCATTGGGATTGTAAGCTTAGCTGTACCTGTATATGCATCAGACTTACAAGCTCATCCTGCAAAACTACCTTGGATACACAATGGGATAATATCTTCTTACGATCATGCTTCTATGCGTCGAGGTTATCAAGTATACAAAGAAGTGTGTAGTGCTTGTCACAGCTTGAAGTATATGAACTATCGACATTTAGTCAATACAGTACTCACAGAAGATGAGGCTAAAGCGGATGCAGCTGAAGTAAGCTGAATGCGGATTTTGTTTGTTGATTTATAAAAGTACTTGGTGAATGCTGCTAACTCATTGCTGAATAGTCATAGTGTTTGAATTGTTTTCCATCCCACTGATACCTTTTTCTCTTTACATTTTAAAACATGATAATAACAATCTGTTAATCAGTGAAATGCACAGTACGACCTGGTGCATGTTTACATTGGTCTAAGTTCCTATTCTCTAGTACAGCAAGAAATTAAGACAAATCCCAGGATAGTAGAGCTTTTTCACACACATAGTCCCTTTATCATCTTGCAGAGAGCAAGGACAAAGATTTGAGCAGAATAACATGGATTCCCTTTATTTCGTTTGGTTCTCGTCAGCTGCTTACAACCTGTGGTATTTGAAAATCATAATTACAAAATAGTTTAATTCGCTTACATGAACGAGTTTAGTTAGAAGTAACTTTGTAGACATCATTATAGTATAGCAAGGGTGAAATATTGTGAATATATATAAAAGGATATTCTACAACACTGGATCTAACAAGAGTCAAAGGGACAGAAATAATTAGTTACGTAATGAGTAGACTTTGGTAATAAGAATAAAACGAGTAAAGTTACTAAAATAAGACTAATAATTTAGATTACAGAAGAAATAAAAAAAATGTAGTGATGTAATTAACCAAGGTAAAGAAAGATTAACAATCATCTTTTAAGCACATAAATCAGGTTTATGACGCCCCCAAATGTCCTGTTATGGCCGAGGGTTGGAAAAGTCCACGCGAACACGGCCACTCCAGGGAAGTCCTACTCACTGCCTTCTAACGGTGGGTCTATTTGCGAAATCGAGAAGACAAGAAGTGGATATCTGGGGCTTTAACCGGATTGGTGGGTGCGGAAGATCGGCCTCGAGTAGCTGAAAAATCTGAATTCCAAACCAATGATATACACGGGTTCCAGAATCCTGATGGGACAAATGGCATATGAACCCATTATTGGTCACCGACTACAATCGGACTGTATCTACTAATGTTATAAATCGAATAAAGTGTGGCGCATATGTATTTGGTGCGTCCTTATATCAATGTTCACGTTTAAGCAAATAAATATAACACCTGATAGCAATGGCTTCAGCAAACTTCAGAACACTGGAGTTTAAGTGTTTAATGATCGCATTGAAAACTGCTAGTTGTCGACCCGATGTTTTGTATCCAAGAGATGTTTAGTAATTGCTTTGTTTAAAGCAGTCTCTCTTGTTCGAAGGTTTTTTGGAATATGTTCAAAAAATAGTAGAGGTAGTAACAGTATTAATGGTAATAGAAAAGATTAAGTATGGAAGTGCGATTGAAGAAAATATAAGTTAGTAAAATGAACTTATGAGGAATTTAGAAAGAATAACAATACATCTAAGAAATTTCTCCAAGAAATAAAGCTCGAAAATATATGTAGATTTAAATCATAAATGTTATAATTTATATCCACGTCCCTCAAAAAGACAGTATAATATACTTCCATATTTCAATTTTCAACTGATGACCAGCGTCACTTGATGTTTACTCATTCGAATGTTAATTACATACTAAATCACTGAATTCGTGCAGTTTGTTTTCCAACTAAGGGCATCTAAGACCAAGAAGTAATAACCCATACACTAAAATTTAACAAAAGGCTATTAAAAAATAATACTCAAAAATTACTCGGCAAGGCGGCCCGCTAGTTCTCTAGTGTTACAGGATGGGGATTTCGTCGGGGTATTTGTGAATTACAAATTCTTCCCATTTCAATAATTGTAGATAAATACCGAGTAGGATAGTCTTTTTTCATGTCTCTACCCGATACGGATTAGCTCTACTGGTCACGGCTTCTCACTAGAACTCCGAGAATTCCCTCATGAAGCTAGTCATTGGTCAGCACATGGTAATTTTCAGTATAGAGTTGTGGAGATTATCAAGTTATTGAGCGTTCGCGCACGAGACTGAAAACCCTGGGTTCGGATCCCGCGAGCGGGATCGTGGATGCGCACTGCTGAGGAGTCCCACCATAGGACAAAGCGGCTGTCCAGTGCTTCAATGTTTTCAATGGTGGTCTGACATCATTCGGTTCATGATTTCAATCAATAACTTATTAATCTCCACAACCCTATACTGATAAATAATTAGGCTCATTCACTAGGTGCTTAGGTATAAGCTACCCTCTAGGTATGAGGAATAATGATACTACTTAGTTGCTAAAGTCGTATTAGATGTGGCCTGGCTAAAAGTCGATTGCCGAAACCGCTTATACATTGGCTACTTGTTTTAATGACTTCTCATTTAACTTTTATTACCGATCATCGATGCTCTCTTCGTACAGCCTACTTTCTCAATCTACATTTGGTCGAAATTTGTACAACTGCATTTGATATATCTAAACCGTAGCTTAAGTTTGTTGCGTAACTAATCCTTTGGATGTAAGTATTTCCTGTCTGTCAGTCAAGCGCAACGTAGAATCTGGTATATGTGTACATCAGTCCAAGTTCCCATTCCCTATTGGCACAGCAAGATGAAATTGTTAGGACAAACCAAGAATAGTACAGTTAGTAACTGTACTAGTAGTAATAGAAAAGGTTAGGCCTCAAAATACGATTCAAAAACAAATTTATGGGGAATTTTGAAACTTAGAGTCTGAGGGACGAAAACGAGTGAATGCACCTGCGTTGTTGCAAACGATTTTGAGCCATGTCATTCAATGTCTCTGACCACTGGTTATAAAAACCACCTAGTCTACACTTACCTACATGACTCAGTTCAATTGTCAAGGTATACATATACTAGTGCCACGTCTTGGTTTGGCTGCCCTTCAACCTACACTAGATAACATCACTTAAAAATAGTTCCGAAATAATAAGTCCTATCGAGAAAGCTATATTCTCACATTATTTGCGTAAAGTGCTAATGCATTCGTGTTATCAATCAGTCACTAACTTACTAGTGTTACTTGAAATTTTTAATAACTACCAATATTGTTTTATACATAAGTATATCATCAATCTACAGAGGCCCGTTGTTATAATACGACATCTGTAAATTGATGGATACTGAGGTTGTGTTGAGGACCAAGGATTCAGATGTTCTAAGATTGAAGTATATATATATGCTTTTGATGTCAATTTTCCCGAAAATTAATGTTCATAGTTTTGGTTTAGAAGATGTCACTGCCATGAAAAGTGTAAGCTTTCGTATTGTTATTTACAGACTGTATGTTTGGAACATCAGATTTAGGTTATTGTGGTTAGACTCAGGACACTAGTAAAGTTGTCTCTGGGATATATATAACGTATGTTCAACCGCCGCCTACCTCTACTCGCAATGTCGAATGGCGTATGAGTAGGCTAGAAGACAACTAGGAGTGGTCAAACCAAAACTTGACGTTAGTTCATGAGATTATTGACCATTGATTTGAGCCATGTTAATAAGTAGCGACTACATGGTTAACGTTCTCTCAATTATCCCAAGCAATGGTTCTAGACATTGAGGAACATGTCTCAAAATCGTCCCAGATGCAATCGCTCACTGTATTTTCTTACGTAATGAGTTCTAAGATTATTTTTTCTCTTCCTTCCCCAAATCAACTTATCTAAAATCATGTTCTCTGTGTCTAACATTCTCTACCAACACTAATACTACTACCACGATTAATTCTACTACTTAATTGTTTATCTTAATAATTTCATCTCTCTGTGTTGATGTATTGTGAAAACTTGAGCCTATGCAACATATACGCCTGATTCTGCATAAAAAATAACCTAATTATTTCAATTATTGTTTTAGTGGTAATATAAAGCTAAACATTCTTGTCCTAGCATCATTATTTATAAATTTAAGGACTGAAAGTTACAATGACTGATCATTTGATGATTTACTATAATTGTAAAAAAATAGTTATTCAGCTATCCGTTAGATTTTTCATATTAATTGTTGTTGAGAAGTCAAACATTTCAAAAACTAGCCGTATGTATCTCTGTATTGTCTATATGTTACCATGTAAGCATCAATGAATTATACAGATATAAGATTTAAATGAAAGAAAACAATAACAAAAGGTTTATTATTTATCTGTTATAATTCCATTGTAGCATATGTATCCTGATGGACCGGACGATAAGGGAAATATGTTTGAACGACCAGGTCGGTTAACTGATGTACTTCCATCTCCTTATCCGAATAAAGAAGCAGCGCGTGCTGCTAATAACGGCGCAGAACCACCGGATCTGACATACATTGTCAAAGCTCGGGAGGGTAATGAGAATTATATATTCCATCTCCTTACAGGTACATAAATTTCACTAAGTAACTGTTGTAAACTTATAATGCTTAATACTTTATTTATTTATTAGGAAACGTTTTTAGTTAAGGTTGGTGTTTCACTTAATTTAGTTTAAGGAATAGAACGTGTTACAAAGAGGCCCTCTTTAATATGGTCAAGGTAATTTTTTTGGAAAAGTGTTTGTTTCTCTCTATTAATTCTGTATTGATATCGCAAACTGACTATATAACCGTTGAGTATAAAGAAGCACTGGATAACTACTTCGTCTTAGTATGGGACTCCTCATCAGTGTGCATCCTCTAATCCAATGAAGGTTAAACCCAAGACATCTAGGTCTCGCGGCGGGCACCTCACCTTTGGACTACTGATACGTCACCCATTGATGTACGTATCTAACTTCAATCAGGGGGCAGTATCGCGCAAGCATCTTGCACTGTCTTTTCTGGTAACTGCTTCATAGCCAACACAGTTGAACTCTATTGGTTACGGCTTCTTACTAGAATTCCTGGAATATCCTTGGTGTTATTTACTAGTGAGCTCAACAAAAATATAACTTTTACCCTTAGATCTTTACATTACAATTAGCTGCGTAACACCACAAGACAGCCTGTTCTGTAACTAAAAAAGAATCAATATTTAGGGAAAATGCTACTATTTATGTACATCTTTGAGCAAAAAGTTTCCTCTTTTGAGTAGAGAATAGATTTCCCGGTAAAGTTTTTTTCGATCACATAGGAGTATGAATAAAAATTCGGAGTAGAGGAATTTCTATCTCACTGTGCAATCACCTGCGATGTTGATTTCCACTTCAGCCACTTCTGTCACAATCAATCAACTTCAAAGATTTGGATCCGTAAGGCATACAATGCATTCGTATACATCGTAAGAGACAGATTTAGAAATAGTAAGCCAACCGACAATGTTTTCAACAGCATGAAATGTATAAAGGAAAAAGAATTAGATGACAAATTTTATTTCTTCGGTGATTTCCTGAAAAGCGAGACATAACTGGGCAAACAGATAAGCTACAGAGACGAAAAACAAAAATTTACAACTGTCATAACTCAACAATATATAAATTAGTTATGTTTGCACACTGTTCATAAGATCAGAGGCTTTCTGTGGGATTCTTAATTAACGAAAATTTTAAGCAATTCATCTCTTTATTTCTGTTATGTAAACAGAATAACCGTTCTTGAAACTTCAATCCATGTTTAACAAGACATTCTATCATCCGGAAATCATCCTCTCAGAAAGACGTTTTTAGAAATCATTGCAAAGATTTAGAGACCATTTGAAATTAGTGTGTTGCTTAATAACTATTACACTATTACCTCATCCCATTCCATCTACAGTTGTATACGGATCAATAAATACAATAATGGAATGACAAGTATGTCAACATTTATAACAACTGCGAAAAGCAGTAACTTAACAAAACATAAATATCCTTTCTACCAACGTGCTACTATTAACGTTGTTTGGTAATTGGGTAACACAATATGTTGTCACTGATTGTAATAGGTGTAAATTACTAGAAGAGATATAGATGCAATTTATAAAGTACCGAAATTCTTAACTGATGAAATTCTAAAAATTAAAGTTTTACAAACGTCTGACATCCGGATTAGTTTATAATTTTAATATACACATTCAATTGATCAAAATAGTAAGAAGAAGTCATTTCAGTCATGTATGGTTTGTTTATTGCATTGTTGAAATCAACCAATCACAAATAAATTCATTAGAATAAACTAACATGAGTGTAAGACTTGTGGCATTGATAATGTCGAGCATGAAGTTATAAATGTTACGTAGTTAACCCATCCAACTAAAAGAATTCAACACTAGTTGACGAATTTACAGCGTTTCTCATTATTTTAGTTACAGTGTGTTTGTGTTTTGTTCGCATATGCTGAGAGCATTGGATAAAGGATGTTACGGTTAGACTTAGGTTACTAGGTAAGGATAGTAAGCCGGTTTCAGGTTGTTAATCTCCATTAATTGACATGGTTTGAATATATGTTACATAGAGTGAATCGCCTCATATTTTCAATTGGAAGGCATCCATTCAAAAGCGTGAGGATCGAGAAGGGGAATTAGGATTTTCAAGAGTTTTGAAATGTGGTCGGTTTGCCGTTTGTGAGTTTGCCTCGACGACTAATCAAAAACATAGTTTTTGATACGTTTAATGTACTACTTTCGAATAATCCTGTAATTTTTCGAATTAAGTAACAATCTTTCATTCTTATTACCTTAGTCATACTGTACATCTATTTTGAACAACAAAGCTAAGAATCTAGTTGACTTGCTTAATAATTAGTATGAGGTTTTACAACAGTGAGATTTAGACAATGTACCTTTCCAGTAATTATTAGTAACATTTTGCAATCATATTCACGAATTACTTTCATCAATTGACGCATACGCCAGCTTGAATATGAATTATTTGACGGAACAGATTATTCTAACATTTGTTAGGCATTTTTGAAACGGATTAAATTACGGCTCTATTGGGTGATTTATAAATTCTTGTAGATAATTTTTTTTTATTAATTTACTTTCTATTCCAGGAAATAGATAAATCCAACTGGAGTTGTGTTATTTAACTTAGATTCATAGGTGATAATTAACTTAAGAGTGAGAAAGGTAAATTCAGTGCTGGTCCTTATTTGGAGCTCATTTCTATACTAATCTAATTCCCTTTGAATAAAAGTTAGACAAATATATTTTTTGGGGATATTTATTTGCTATAGAATTTCGTTTGTTGACCTGAATCCCTATTCAAAACGGATGTACAAGATAGCATGACCATAGTGATAAGAATGATTGTTACTTAATTCCGAAAAACTACAGCTTTTGTTGAAAGTAAGCGACATTAAACCTATCAAAAACTATGTTTTTGATTGATCCTAAAGGCAAACTGATAGACGGTAAACCAACCACATTAAAAAAAATTTGTTCCCATTCCCGGAGCTCGCCCTTACTAACATATGGTTTTTTGATGGTCGTCCTTATTGACGTGCACCCTTTTCAATCGCTCCCTTAGTATTGTGGGACTTTCCTGCAATGCTGTTGTAAGTAGAA